TCGTGTTATGAAAGCTATTAACTTTGGTGGTTATTAGTATAATTAGTTCTCTTTTAGTCAGTCTGTGCCAGCCACCACACACGTGTACACCCATGTATATGTGGGCACACACACATATTCACCTTTAAGCACTTTTGTGAGTTTGTTTCCTTATAAAGATTGATTATTAGTCAGATATCAAAGGTCAAGGCTCCCAATAACTCACTCTGTGGGTGCTAACCAGATTTCAAGAAACTGCTTTCTGTCCCAGAAATCAGGACAGGGCCCCCCTGTTGACTCTCTCCCTGGACAGAGCTGATAAAGTGTACTGTGACCTAGTGTCCACCCCCCCCGTCCCCTCACAGTAGACCTACCCTGTTCTTTACAACCCTGAATTACAGCTCCTTGCCTTTGATCCGTGTCCCGGACTTCTCCACAGGCTGCAGGTCACATGGCTCCTTCCCCCTTTGGAAACCCAGGGTGTTCAGTGTAGCAACTGTAAAACTGTAGCAGGGGGTTGCTTCACAGCCAGCGGGAAGAGCCGGCCTCTCCAGGGAGAAATCGGGTATCCCTGGAATTCACTCAAACCCGCGGCCACAGCAGGCTGCTTTTGCCCAGGAGCAGTTGTGCCTTTCTTACAGCCTTTCTACTCTCCTGTGGCAATGCGGAGGGAAGTGGGAAGGGAAGAGAGCAGGCGTAACTGAGAACACTCTCAGGATTGGCTGTTTTCTCCCTGCACCAGGTTTAACGGCTCTTTTCTGATTGGTCCTGTTTCACATTTCATTTGCATACTACACATTTCATTTGCATACACATTTCATTTGCATACACATGCAGCGCCAAACTGGGCCTATCAGGCTTTCTGTGACCCGCCACAACCCAGCATCCCCAAGAGTCCTGCCCCTTGCAGGGTGTAGTTTGTTGGGTCTAGTATGTTGCTTTCCGAGTGTGACCCCCCTGAGGCCCACGCCTTCCTTCCTGGCCACTCAGTTTAGCTCTAATTCTCAGGCTGTTGTAATAGACTTGGTGCTTCAAGGATCATCTTTGTGCTGTCCTCAAAGACAGCCAGGAGGGATGCTCAGAATCCAGTTTGACTGAGCATATTCAAGAGGGGTGGACAGTCCAGCTTGGAAGAACATGGAAAGAATTCAGGATAGGATTAGGGCACGAACAGAGACCCTCCAGTGTTGTGAGGAGGGGTCTGGGGGTAGGAGTGGGTGTTGGGAGAAGCCTTGCAAACTAGATTTTATTGTTAGGGAAGTATGTGGGGAGACATAGCCCAGGCCTGAGGCTGTGAAGCCACACACACACACACACACACACACACACACACACACACACACACACACACTGCCCCCCACGCGGAGGATTTGGAGTGGGAATTACAGTGTCTGCTCCGAGTCAGGTTAAGTTTAAACACATTAGTTTAGGCTCATTTTATTCATTATTGTCATAAGAAAAGTCTTCCAAACCGGGAGGTGGTGGCGCATGCCTTTTATCCCAGCACTGAGGAGGCAGAGCCAGGTAGGTGGGTTTCTGTGAGTTCGAGGCCAGACTGGTCTACAGAGTGAGTTCCAGGACAGGCTCCAAAGCTACAGAGAAACCCAAAAAAAAAAACAAACAAAAAAGTCTTCCTAGATCTGTTGCTCAAGATCATGTAGCCCAACCAGAGTATTATCTGTGGGGCAACCTTATCTGAGCAAGAAGGCCCCCAACTTTCTAGGAATGGTTACTCCCATTCCTTAGGGTGGTCAAAGTGCTTTTCAGTGAGCTTTTTCTATCCCTGGGATGGCTTAGAGTTAAATGTGGGCATGGAAAAAGTAAACACCATGTTGTTATTAACTATTATGGTTTTTTTTTTTTGTTTTAACTCGCAGACTAACATGTATTTTAAAATTCTATTTATTTAGTGTATGTGTGTCCTTGCATGTGTGTTTGTGTGTGTGTGTGTGTGTGCAAGTGTGCATGCATATGCCACATTGTGTGCGTGGAGGTCAGGTGACAACTTGCAGGAATCAGTTCTCTCCTTCGCCAAGTGTGTTCCAGAGATCTAACACAGGTTGTGTCTTCACCTGCTAAGCTCTCTCCCCCACCCACAGTTTTGTTTTGGTGAGTGTTTGTTTAGAGTGATTGATAGATTTAGCCTTGAGTCTTTTTCCCATGTTCTCCCACACAGTACTTAAAAATATAATGGTATTAATTTTCCCCCATTCATTTAGCAAAATTAAGATCTATCCAGTTTCACAAAAGGGAGAATAAAGCCCAATCTTCCACGTAGAGTAGAGGATTCTGGAAGAACATATGGGGCTGGAAATACTACCCTGGCCCTCCTGGGCCCTCCACCTCCATGACTGTCTTGATTTATTTTATTTTACAAGTATGAGTGTTTTACTTGCATGTATATTTGGGCACCACAGGTCAGCTTGGTGCTCACAAGGTCAGAAGAGGGTGTCAGATCTCCTGGAACTGGAGTTACAGAAGGTTTTGAGGTAGTGCTGGGAACAGAACCTGGGTCCTCTGCAAGAGCAGGCAGTGCTCTTAACCACTAAACCATCTCTTCAGCCTGCCTCCATCTTATGCTTGAAAGTCATCTTATAGTAAAGACAAACTAGGTTCATTCCTGTTATGATTAAATCTGTTTCTCAAGGACTGGGCTATAGCCCACCTGTAACCTTAACTACAAATGATTCTGTACTGTGTGTTCCAGAAATGGCGACCATGTCTTTATTTCAAAAGGTTATTGTTACACCTCATTATGACTACCTTGTTATGATCACCTTGCAGCCATTTCTTTGTTTCCGGAGGTTATTATGACCAACTTGTTATGCTTATGTTCTGTTCCTGTACCCCACCTATTTGCCTGCCAAACCCCCATTTGGAAACCCCCTACTCCTGAGCTATAAAAACCCTTATCTTACTCATGCCCAATGCTGAGCTCTTGAACCCCATGTCTCTATGGAGAGACAGCTGGTTACACAAATTAAAAAACCTTGCTTTCATTAATTGATTGCTTTCATTAATTTGGTCATGATTTGGGCCAGTGGTCTTTCTCCTTGCATCTGTGGGATTAACAAGAGCATATCCGAAATGACCATTATAAGAGGGATGAGAAGCTGAGGGCAGGGGAGCTTCTGAGTTGGAGAAGCTTAGAGTAAAGGGGCAGGCTACCTAGGGAGCCTGGAGGCTAGCATGCGCTTTGTTGTGCCAACGGACACCATAGATAGCCATTTGTCCTTTCTGCCAGTGATAAGGAAATGGCTCCTTTGGTAGAGGGGAACAGGTGCCAGAATTTGGGGGAGTGGAGTTTCCTTTGGACCTGATGCATGGCATTTCACAATAGCTCCTGCAGGGCACCTCTAGACTCCCTTGTGAGACAGCCATTCTCCATCCGTGTAAGGGCTTGATGTTGAGAGGTCCTGAGCACTGTGCATAACACCAATGCTCTGACTGGAGATGGGAGGAAACCCAGCTCAAGGGATCCGCATCTTCGGCATTTGTCCTCAGAAGACTTGCTGAAACTGAAGCATGTGCTCAGTACCATCTCTTAAATTCTGGCTCAGTAGGTCTTGGGGGAGGGGTGACATTTGCAATGGAAATAGTTTCCCAGGTGATGCTGTTGGGCTGGGGACTGTAGCAGGCTCTCTTGTATGGCCAGCCCCCAAATAATGACACGCAGAGACTTATTAATTATGAATGCTCTGCCTTAGCTTAGGCTTGTTCCCAACTAGTTCTGAGAACTTAAATTAATCCATATTTTTTTAATCTACATTCTGGCACGTGCCTTGTTACCATACTACACATCCTGCTTCCTCTGTGTCTGGAGACTCTGCCTTTCTTCCCATAATTCTCTTGGTGCCTGGAAGTCCCACCTATACCGCCTGCCTAGCTGTTGACTGTTCAGCTTTTTATTACACTAATCACAGCAACACATCTTTACACAGTGTGCAGATATACACATCAGGGGACCATTACTTTGTAAATCACTGAGTTCATGCATATCTACGGGAGATTCTTTAAGCATACGATCTACTCCTATGTGGTAATTTGAATGTAATTGGCCCCCTTGTTGGAGGAAGTATGTCATTTTGGAGATGGACTTTGAGGTCTCATATGTGTTCAAGCCACATCCAGTGTCTCAATTCACTTCCTGTTGCCTTTGGATCAAGATATAGGACTCTCAGCTCCAGCACCACATCTGCCTGCACACCACCATGTCCCACTATGATAATAATGCGCTAAACCTCTGAAACTGTAAGCCAGCCCCAACTAAATGTTTTCTTTATAAGAGTTGCCATGGTCATGGTGTCTCTTCACAGCAATAGAAACCCTAACTAAGACACCCCATGTGCTGGCCAGTTTTTATATCATATTGACACAAGCTAGAATCATTGATTGATGTGGGAGGGTCCAGTTCACTGTTGGTGATTGCCATCCCTGGGCAGGTGGTCCTGGGCGTTATAAGGAAGCAGGCTAAACAAACCATGCTGAGCAAGCCAGTAAGCAGCACTCCCCATGGCCTCTGCATCAGCTTCTGCCTCCAGGTTCCTGCCCTGTTTGAGTTCCTGCCCTGACATCTCTTCAGCAATGGAGTGACCTGAGAGTTATAAGCTGAAACCAACCATTTCCTCCCTGAGTTACTTATGGCCACGGTGTTTTATCACAGCAACGGAAACCTTAACGGAGATACCCTGGAAACCAGTGGAGAGCATTGTCAGATGGGGATGGGGTGGGCTGCTGTGACAGAGAGGCCCAGCGGGAAATAAAGGGCTACAGAACATCAACATTTCTCTGTGTGAGGGAGAATCATAACAGATCCTGTGGGGTACCACCAGACCCCCTGCAGGACCAAGGTGGTCATTCCCCAGTTACACAGTTACAGGGAGTGTTGATGGCTTAGAACTTCTTGCTTGACCCCCTCCGTCTGTCATGGGGAGGTGGACCTGCCATCCTGCCTCAGTTTCCTCAATGTAGCAGTATGAAGAGCCGTTGATGGAGACTCTGCCATTGTGCTTATCCAACAGGCAAAAGTAGCTGCCTCCGCCATGGTGTTACCCTTGCAGGAGCAGCCTGCCTCTGCGAAGGACCGGTAGTCTGGGAACACAAAGGTTCCATCCCTTGACTCTGTCCAGATGTTCATGAAAGGCCACCCTTGTTCCAGAGTGCCCATGAGCCAGCAGACTGCTCCCATTCAGCGTCACTGAGGTGCGGTTTCTTCTTCCTTGTCTCCTGGGTACCCAAGTAAGCCCCAGGGCACAGACTCTGTTCCGAGCCAGCTGAGTAACCTAAGGTACCAAGAGCGTGTTCCTGCTTGGTCAGTAGTTTTGCCCTTTGTCATTAAGGGACCCAGTTCGCCTGCAGCTTGGGCATTTACCGTCACTCTGGCTGGGCCCCGGGTTGAAGGCCAGTGCGGTGGTTTGAATGAGAATAACTCCCAGAGGCTCATGTATTTGATGAACTGTTTGGGAGTGTCCGGAAGTGCGGCCTTGTTGAGGAGGTGTGTCATTGGTGGTGGGCTTTGAGGTTTCAAAAACTTATACCAGGCCTAGTATTTTCTGTCTCTGTCTGTCTCTCCATCCCTCCCTCCCTCCCCCATTCTCCCTCCCTCTATCCCTCTCTCTCCCTCTCTTCCTCCCCCTCCCTCTCCCCTCCTCTTCCTCCCTTCCTCCTCTTCCTCCCTCTCCCCCTCCCTCCCTCCCTCCTTCCCTCCTCCTTGCCCCCTTCCTCCCTCCCTCCTCTTCCTCCCTCCCTCCTCTTCCTCCCTCCCTCCTCTCCCTCCCTCCCTCCTCTTCCTCCCTCCCTCCTCTTCCTCCTCCCTCCCCACCCCTGCCTGCTGCTTGAGGATCAGGAAGTAATGCTCTCAGCTCCTTCTCCAGCACCATGCCTGCCTGCCTGCTGCCATGCTCCTCCCCGCCATGATGATAATGGACTAACCCTCTGGAACCGTAAGCCAGTCCCCATTAAATGTTTTCTTTGCTAAGAGTTGCCTTGGTCGTGGTGTCTCTTCACAGCAATAGAACAGGGACTAAGACAGCAAGTGACAGGCCCCTCAGCGCTCAGGCTGCAGCAATGGGAGGCACGTGCAGTGAAGGGAACCTTAGGACATGGCCTGGGAGTGGCCGTCTACCACAGGGAGGCCGAAGACCTCTGTCAGCTGCCTGGTCGCAGCACTTTGGAAGAAGAGGTAGACAGTTGTGACTATGGGCCCGTGTGGCCCCAACTCTGGGTGCCCCAGGCCTCTGCAGCGGGAGCGGCAGATGTGGGGCCCCTCGAAATGCTGTCGTCCATGTAGCGAAAACCCTTAATCCGCCTTGAGGTGTTCACTCTGGGCTCAGCACACAAGCTACTGTGCTGATTTTTGCACACTAGGCCAAATGCCAACATCGCCCCATCACTTCCTTCTCACACAGGGAGCTTAGCCAGATGGAAGTGAGAGAAAGTGACAGCGTATTAGCTCCAAATTACTTGTAAAAAAAATCTCTGAAATGTCGTGACACACGGTGCCCGGCTTCCAACTGCAGCCTCCCCACCCCGGAGTGGACTTGCCAGGGCCCAGGTGAGGGCACCTTATTGCACTCGGATGGGGTGGCCTGTCCTTGGCAGTCTCAGGAAGGGTGGCTGAGGGCCTGAGGCACAGTTCACGCTATACTGCTGTCCCCTCAGCCCAGCTCGGAGTCCCTGGCCCATCTTTGTCCTAACTTGGGTGTCAATGCTCTGAACTACCTTGCCTCCCACTGATCCCTGTCACCTGTACTCCTGTGACCAACACTGGGAATCTGACAGGTGGGCCGTGGGGCCTTGGGTTTGCAATCATCATCTCCAGTGTTCGCTCAGTCCTGTCTGGTCATGTGCCACACATCTCCTGAGGCAGTGCCCACCTGCCTCACCTCAGGATGCCGACTCCTCTCCTTCCTCAAGCCCACATGCTTTCTGCGCCCCATTCTGCACAAAGGTCTCATCCTTGATGGGAGGATGAAAACCGCTAAAGGGGACTCCGGTGACCATCCCCAGTGTCACCGTGCAGGAACGGTCCCTTTCCCTATTTATGGACAGACCCTCTCCTTGGTCTCTCAATCCCGTCTTTAAGCCCTTCATTCTAGAATCACACTGCTTCTCCCCAGCCAAGACCTCATTCCAGCCACTGCCTGGATCTGTTGTAGTAGGTAGCCATTTGACCTGGAAATACCACCCCCTTTGAGGCTTCAGTAACGGTCACGCCTACAAGGCGGAGCCGAGAGAGGACCCCTGAAGACCCAAGATCCAGATGGGGGAGCTCTCTTGGTTCCTGGACCCTGGACACTGGAGGTAGACCGAGCAGAGTTCTCCAGAGAACACCGCTGGACTGTGCTACACCTTTCTCAGACTCTGTAACCTATCCCTTCACTTATAAGTTACCCCACAAAATAAACCTCCCTTTTAACTACGTGGAGTGGCCTTAATAATTTCACCAATAATCCGTGACTGGGTGTCCAGGGCAGGGGACATTGCTGAGGTGGGGATGTCAGTGAGCAGAGAGCCAGGTGAGGTCATGTCCAGCAGCAGGGTGCTAACAAACACCTCCAAAGTCATTGCAGAAGGGCCGGAGATGGAGGGTTTGCAAAGATTCCACCAGGTCGGCTCCTCCAAGCCATCCCAAGGGCCTCCCTCTGGCCTCTGTGGTGAGGGTGCCCTGGGTGATATCAAGGCCACGGCCTGAACCAGCTCACAGTTGGCAAACCGCCCAGGATAAGTAAAGGACAGGGAGGGTTTGAGCTCAGGAAGAGGGGAATTCAGGGAGGAACCGCTCCTTCCTGCCTGCCCGGGTGCACCAGGCTCCGCAGGGGACCACGGTTTGGAAGCCATGAACTGTCTGTAGGTGCTGGGGACTCCGGGGCCACTTCATTCTACGTTTGGCGCCCACCCTGCTCTGTCTGCTCACTCCATCTCACTTTCCCAAGAGAACATACAGGCACCCTAAGGAGATGGATTGCTAATTACCTGTCTTCTCCGTGTGGCGCCAGCTCTACGTGTGGGCTACAGTTCCACACTGTACCTCATAAACAGGTACAGTCAGTACGCGTTACTCATTTTTTTCCCAAAAAAAATTATCTTTTATAAAAAGAGAAAGGGGGTGGGGAGGAAGGAGCTGGAGCCTCTGGGTGAGGGTGGAGCTGACTCTTCACCCCGTCCCTGACCCGCCCGCCCTCCAGCTGTCAAGCTCCTCACATCTGGTAGCCAGTTCAGATTCAGGTCCTGAGGTTTGTTCAGTTCAAAACTTTGTAGTGTATTAAAAATGGCGTGGGCTTTGGCATCACCTTCTAGTTTGTTTGTTTTTTCGAGACAGGGTTTCTCTGTGTAGCTTTGGAGCCTGTCCTGGATCTCGCTCTGTAGACCAGGCTGGCCTCGAACTCAGAGATCCGCCTGGCTCTGCCTCCCGAGTGCTGGGATTAAAGGCGTGCGCCACCATCACCCAGCTCCACCTTCTAGTTTATGTGTGCCTGCTCCACAGTTTCCATCCTCCATTTCTGAGGGGCCCGGGAGGGGCTGGCGACCTGGGCCTGGCTGGTGCTTTCTCTGGAGCACGTCCCCTGTTGAGGAGGTGATGGGTGCTGCTCTGGTCCCCTGGCCCAGGGCAACCATCTCAGAAGGACCTCCAGGCTGCCGAGGGTTCCGTCGTTGGAGCCCTAGCCTTCAGGACCTCTGAACGTGACGTTATCTGCAAACAGGATCGTTATAGACGCAATTAGCTCAAATGAGGTCATTCTGGAGTAGGAAGGTCCCCTCACTCGCCATGACAGTGTCCTTACAGGAAGAGGATGGTGTCACCCAGGCCGTGTGACGGTGGAGACTCAAAATAGAAGTGACGACGTATCTAACGGGTGAAGAATGCTGAGGCGCAGGGATCCTCCGGTCTTCAGCACTGGAGACAGAGGGAGGGCTCGTCTGCGGCTTGTAAGTGACATGGCTGCTTCTCTGGTACCTTCGCTGCAGACCTCAGCTTCCAGGGCCGCCAGATAGTGCTTTGTGGTGTCCAGCCTCTCAGCCTGCGGTGCTTTGGGTCGGCACCCTGGCAGCTCAGGGAGGAAAGCAGCTTTGCCCTGGCGCCCACTTAAACAGCATTCACAGGGGCTGAGCCCTCCCTGTCTGTGGCCGGTGTGGTGGCTTGAATGAGACTGAGTCGCAGGAATTTGAACACAGCTGGTGGCTGTTTAGGGAGGATGAGGAGGTATGGCCTTTGCTAGAGGAAGCGCGTCACTGGAGGTGGGCTTTGAGGTTTCAGACGCATGCCATCCCCAGTGTGCTCTGCCGCTGGAGAGGTTCCAGATGAGAGCTCTCAGCTGGCCCTGCCGCCATGCTAACCCTCTGGAACCATAAGGCCAATGAAACACCTTCTCTCATAAGTTGTCTTGGTCACGGTGTTTTATCACAGCAGTGGGAAGTAACCAGCATGGCCGTTCTGTCCTGGAGATGTGAGGGTCCCGTCACTGTGTTCTTGGCAAGCTTTCAGTGGACTGGTCACACTGAGGCGGGTCCTGCCTTCCTGTAAGACTGCATACCCGAGATCTTGGGAAGATGTCAGATATGGGGTCAGGGTGGGTGGAGAGTAGGCCATTCCTGGGGCCTCTATAAAGCCCCTTTTCTCCGTATGTCAGTGAGGTTCAGCCAAACTTCCCTTTCCTGCAGGATACAGCCCCGCCCCCTCCAGGCCTCGGGAATGTCTCACTGTGAAGGTTGAGGGCCAGGGCAGTAAGGCTCCCCTAAACCATTCCGGCACATTTCCAGCCTGTGCTAAAGGCACCAGGCTTGTGGACTCGGCTTACAGCTGCTGTGCACTCCTATCACCGACCTCTTCAAAACCTGGCGGGGAGGTGGCTTGCATGGTAGACTGAGGAAGTGAGGTAGGCTTGCATGGCAGGCTGCTGCGCCAGGCTGAGGAAGTGAGTTCGGATCCCAGCACCCAAGTAAGCAGCTGGTGTGGCTGAGCTAGCCTGTGACCAGGGCCAGCGGTTGTGGAGGGGGCACAGAGACAGGAGGATCACTAGGGCTTGCTGCCACGAGCCTAGCTCCAGGTTCAGTGAGAGACCCTGTCTCAGGTGAGTACTGTGGAGAGTGATAAAGCTGGGTAGCCAGTCTCCTCCTTGTACAGGAATGTGCACACATCACGCTCATGTGTTCACACACACACTTTTTCCCCCCTAAAAGCTCTAAAAGTAAGAAAACAAAACCCCACCAGCTTTCAACCAGGTGTAGCTGAGGCAGGAGGACTGCTGAGAGTTCAAGGCCAGTGTGAGCTCCGTTGCAAGCCTCTCAAAACCTAAACAAAGGCTGCAAAGCGGTGGATGCTCAGTACTGCTCACCCTGCTCCTTCCTCTCAGCATACTCGATAAATCTGTTTTCTTCTCCCAAAGCAAGCAAACAACAAAAAAAATCCATCTTTCGTTTCGGGCTCATCCGAGGAACAGATTCAGCAGGACTAAGTCCCATTCGTTCGCTTCCTCTGCTCCAGGCACCGTTCCATTTTCGGAGTCTACGGAGTAGCCCATTAGTTACCCTCTTGTTCCAGACGAGGCCATAGCCACTCAGTGGTCAAGGACTTGACCCAAGGTCACACAGCGGCCGTTGTCCCTGGCTCAAGCCTCAG